ATTGACTTAGAAACCACATTTATGCTGAATTATAAACTGTATTTTTATTTCAATATATATGTCCATTCTCATTCTCAGTTTCCTTATTTTAAAACATGTGGAACGGTATCTACATACTATAACAATTCAGGCATTTGGTGCTCTGTGAACTAAATGTCATAATGAGGAGTTAAATATTATAGTGCTTATCCTCCATTTGCCAGGTCTGTAAGCATATTGTAACTTCTTTGAATTTCAGTTTCCTCCTCTATAAAATAGAGATTATAATATCTATCATGAAGGATTTGGGTGAAAATTAATGTTAATGGCCTACCTGTATCTGGACCCTCTTCTCAAATTTAGTATATGTGCTGCCAAAGCAAGCACTCTCTTCTCAAATTTAAAGGAGAAAGAGATCTTTGGGAAATGTAGAATGTGATTTCACTTTATAATATGGTAAAGCGTGTGAGTGTTTTAACCCATACTAAATCTTAATCATAAAGCAAATTCTTCAAAAGCTTCTATAGATATGCCATTGTAACAAACTGAATTTTGTTGATTTCAAGGTGCATTTAAAAAGTTTTTTTGTATCTCTGTACTTACAATTGATGATGTCAAATAAATACAATTTCATTGTTTTTCTTTCTTGGGAGTACATAATAGAATGACACATTTTATAAATAAAGACATTTTGGAGTTAATAATATATTCTGATATCTTCCTTAGTCTTTTCCAATTTAACTCTTATCTTAGGAAAATTCATATGGCTTAATGAATTACTACACTGTTTGTGGGCATTGATTCCCTCAGACCCAAAGTACCCATTCTAGTGTTCAAGATGCCATCCTGTATACATAACTGAATTTTTAAAAGTTTTCAAAGCACAAAAATCCTAAATATCTTAAACCTCAAACATAGATAGCATAAGTTTCTACAACATGTCTACAAAAATGAAAACCTCAGGAGAAGGTACTCAAAATTGATTAAATGGAACAAGAGAGATCATTACACAAATAAAGGCATTTAACCTCCAAGTTCCTTGGTCAGACTTAAGGGCACAGATTTTAAAATGTGTGCAGGCTGATGGCCCAGATCAGTTCTATTTTGAATAGTTTATTCCCTTGAAGACTCAGCCAACACCTGGAAGAGAAGCAGCTGGGTAAATACACTCCCTGGTCATGCAGTTTAGGAAATAGGAGGCAAGAAAAGATTCGTTGTTTTTTCCCTTGCTCCACTTGCTCCACGGAATACCTTGGAGGTCACAGAAACCTTGATAAAACACTCACTCTCTAGCCTCCAAGTCAGGAGGAGGAGTAAAAGAAAATCCCTGCCCTTCAAGGTGCTGAAGTTACTACTAAAATAGGAGAAGGGAAGGCACTTTTGCCCTTCCATTTTGTGATCTAAGAGTACAGAAATAACTTGAAAGACAACCCCAAATCACAATTCAATGCAAAAGTAAATACATAAACAAAGGATGGATGGATTTCTGTTCAATGATTAGAGAAGTGACAGCTCAATGGCAGAGACATTTACTACATCACAATTAGCAAAATAGACGAGGAAATGGGTACTCTTGGCACTGGTGAAAGGAACACAGAGCCTATTCCAGAACAATCTAGCAACACATAGCTAAACTGAGTAACTAATCTATTGCCCCCCTCACCCCCGAAAAATCCAATTCTTACATTCCTAAATGCATGCCTTAAAGAAATTCTCCCAAAATCTCATAAAAGGGATTTCTGGTGTTTGTAAGGGCGGAGAATTTGAAGAAGTGAAATTATCTGCCTGTAGGGGGTATAACAACGATAGTAGAATGTCCCACAGTGATGAAGAATGAAACTACAGATAGAAGAGGTAGGGTGCAAGTAAATTTATTGAAAAAATACAAAGGCAAGGAAGTAGAGGTCCCACTAGCGGGGTGGGGTTCCTGAGCAGCATATCCGTGGTGGCTGTTGTTCTAGGGACTTTTAAGAGGGCTGGAACAGAGCTTGGGCCATTGTGCAAGCAATATAATCTCTACTGTATGTATTTTTTTAGAGTTCACTCTATGCAATGTTCACACAGTGCCCACACAGGGCCCACATGTCCTTGTATCAATGTCCTATTCGATCATGCTCTGGGCAACTCCCAGACAGTTAAAGTACAAATGGCAGATGTTTTTGTAAGAACCCTGAAAGATGGTGGACTCAGCAGACTCCATTTTGGGCTTCCCAGCTCCATTTTGGGGCCACTGTTCTTACTGACTAATAGAATCCTAACTCCTATTCTACTGATTCTGGTTACAACAGTTAAAAGGTAGATAATGTGGACCTCAATGCCATAGTGCTAAATAACAAAGCATATAACATCCTGCAATGGGCTATATTCTCAGGACAGGACCCAGTGGAGCCAGTCCTGCTCAAAAGCATGATGTAGAGTAAGAAAAGCGGAAAACACAATGGAACTTATTATAAAGTTACATATTATATGCTTTAGAAGGATAAAATGGAGATTGATTTAAAGTGCGGCTCATAGATAAATGTTGGAACTAAATTAAATAAGATAAAAATAAACCAAATAAAGGGTTTTATGTAGATGAATAACTCATTCAGTAAGAAAGCACTTCAAAGTACTTTCATGAAAATGCATTTTCAATGTATGCACTGCAGAAAATTTTAGGTAAAATAGTACAGATCAACTACGTAATACTCAAAATTTCTGTCTTTCTATTTATTTTGATCAGGAATATATGTATTTTCAACTATAGACTACATCTAGTTGTTTAGGTATATAGTAGTCACCCTTTATCTTCAGAAGATACATACCAAGACCTCCAGTAGAAACCTGAAGCTTGACTAAAATGCTCCTATTTTTACGTGCATGTGTATGATAAGGTTTAAAACTGTTCCTGGGTGGTGCACTTTTGCAATCCCATTATTCTGGGAAGTGGAGACAAGAGGATTGCAAGTTCAAGTGCAACCTGGTCAACATAGTGATCTAGCAAGACATTATCACAAAATGTAAATAAATAAATAAATAAATAAATAAATAAATAGGTTTAATTTTAAAATTAGGTACACTAAGAGGTTAACAATATCTAATAATGAAATAGCACAATTATCAGAATATAATGTATAACAGTCATGTAAATATGGTCTCTTCTTCTCTCTCCCTCTTTTTTAAAATACCTCACTGCACTTCCACTCTTTCAGTTGACTGAATCATTTTATGGCTTCTTTTGGACATATACAAATTGTCAGCATGACTACTGTTACGCATTGAAGCCATTATTGAATAAAACAAGTATTACCTGAATATAAGCACTGTGATACCACAATGGTTGATTTAATGCCTGAGACAGCTAAGTGACTAGCAGACAGACAGCATATACAGTGTGGATTTGGTGAACAACATAATTATTCACATCACAGAAGGAACAGAGCTAGATAGCCTGAGAGCTCATTGTGTCATTCAGATTGGCACACAATGTAAAATTTACGAATTCCTTACCTCTAGAACTTTCCATTTAATATTTTCAGACTGCAATTGAAACTTCATAGTTGAAACTTCAGATAAGGGGAAACTACTGTATTGCCAATACATGAGCTATATTTTCAATCATTTTGTTTTCAGAGATTCAAAATGGCATGCTATTAGAACATATGATTTTGTAAGTAAAATTATGTTTAAAAACATAGTGGTATAAGCCAGGTGTGATGACACAGGTTTATAATCCTAGAAGTCTGAGAGGCTGAAGCAGGAAAATCATAAGATTGAGCTCAGCCTGGGCAGTTTAGTGATTTAGTAAGCCCATACCTCAAAATAAAAACTAAATTAAAAAATATAAAGGACTAGGAATGTAGTTTAGTGTGAAGGCCCTGAGTTCAATCCCTAATAATATGTGCACACACACACACACACACACACACACACACACATATACACTCAAGGAAATGGAGTGGGGTTATAGCTCAGTGGTAGAGGGCTTTTCTAGCAAGTGTAAGACCCTGAGTTCTAGCTCTAGTCCTAGAAAAAAATAACAACATAAAACTTTTCTAATAAGTTAAATAAATACATAAACAAATTTAATTAAATGGCTGAAACTAGTAAGCAAAGCAAAACCACTTTCAACTACAATTTCTAATCAGACTGACTCCAGCTCCAGGGTACCTAACAGTTGATATAATCCCCAAACACTTGAAAATACTTACCATCCTCATGTCACTAAGTCCTGCCTTTCTGGCTAAAGTTCAGGTTCTGAATCAAGTGTCTTTGCAGTCCTCTTTTATGATTTGTGTGTATGTAGACATGTCTGGACCAAGGATGAAAATTCAGACACTCCTTCAGGAATATTCTTCCTCTGCAGATGACTGAGAAACATGTAAAATAGTAGTTGGAAATGATTTTTGAAGTTTGATTGTTTTAGGGCAACCAAATAAGACCTATACTTTTGCAATTTTTCATAATACAAGAGGACTTTACTGCAAATAAAAATGTATGTAGTTCTAAAATTTCTTACAGGTTCTCTAATAAAAAATGACTACCCAATAGACACAACTTACATCACATGAAAGTAAAAAGTCTGTTTAGGTAGTTAAAAGAAGTCTTTTTTTGTTTTGTTTTGCTTTGCCTGTGACTGACTAGAGATCTGGAATATGCACTGTCTAGAAGAAACAAAATTGTATAATGTATGTTCTACTACTCAATGTAGAAATTAAGGTGGGCAAACTAAAGCAGTAGCTGGGATGTAGTAATAGCATTAATGGTATTGGCAAGTGGGTGGAGAGGGGGATTAGGCATTTTACAGAGATGCTTATATGATGGGCTCATTGTAGCCATCCTTCGGTACAGAATTCTTTTCTGAGTGCACTCTCTATTCTACTGAGAAGCTCTCAATTCATTTGATCCTTGAGGCACAGAACTCGAGGATTGTTGTGGCAGGAGCAAGAATTTTAGTTTTATTATCACTCTCTTTTTCATCACTGACTAAGAACTTACCTAATAAGGTTGCCTGGCAGCATCCATCATATCTGAAGCCATGATTAATCTTCCCTCAGTTGAGAAATTCCTGATTACAACATCATCGGAACAATTTAGAAGAGAGCACATTTCACTGATAGACACTTTTGGAAGGAGCTGGATCCAGTTTGAAGCCCTCGGAACATGAAGACACCCCAACAAAGAGCTAAGAGATCTGGTAATAACTTAATCTATTTGCAGGGGCTGGTTCATGGTACATCTATGAGACGTGGGAAGTCTTTGGAGGTGTAGAACCTTAAATGTTAGTGAGATATTGTGTGTTGAGTCTCTCAAGTTAAGCAAGAAATGGAAAGACTATATGATAGCCACCGAGAAAGATGAAGGTTCATTGCACAGGTCTCTAGGCCTTTTTTGATGAGCTTTCCCTTTCAGAAAGCATTTAAAAAGCATATAGAAGGCAAATATCACTATATTTATATCATAATGAGAGATGGCATCACAAGCTGATACCTGGGAAAAACTAACAATAGATATCTAGATTTTCTTTTGAGTTGTACTTGTAAGAGTTCAGATTATGTACTGCTTAGATAATGTTTTAAAAACTGATAATTTTTTTTTAAGCACTGGGGATTGAACCTAGGACCTTTGCACTGAGCTACACTCCCAAACTTCTTTCATTTTTTTCTATTTTGAGACAAGGTTCAGGCTGGGATTACAGGCATGTGTCATCATGTGCCGTTCTATTTAGCATTTTTTAATAGTTCTTTATTGTCTTGTTCAAGCCTTGAGTTTGAATATTCTTTCTTATAACCATATTATCTGCAGAAAATGTGATGCCCAGTGATTGATAAAAGTGACCTCCTTGCTTAGGGAAATTATGAACCTCCTTCTGATAATTTATGAAGGACACTTCACATTCTTCTTTTCTGCTATTTTTTAAGAATTAGACTTATTGGGTGAGGGGTGAAATGTTTTCATGTTAATGGAGATGTCATTTAAAAGTAACATTCTCCTTTGACCCTCTTAATTGCAGACCTGCATTTGAAGCTATGAGCATGAGTCAGTCTGATAGAGTAATATCCTTCCTAGATATAGAAAGATTAGGATTTTCGTTAGTTCTATATGTCAAAACCAGTGTTTAAAATAAATATTTATTCTATATTTTCTGTTTCTAGAAATAAGTCAACTGTTCTTATCAGACATTTTTCACCTGTGAAAACAGAAATTAATTTTTAAAATATAGATCCTTTAGCACACTTAGCACTTCAGGAGGGAAATATGACAGTGTAGAACCAAATTGGAGGATATAAATATGGTGTTCAAAACTTGTTATTTTAGTCTAATATGATTTCTGCTGCCTCTAAGAGTTATTGGCCTCTCAACCTATTTGAAGATCCTGTCAAAGTTGCCTACCTCTTTTGTTTCAAAATTGCCTAATCCTCAAAATTGAAATTTGTAGGTCTAGAATCCTATTGTATAATTTCTTTTATTCCCTATTAGTAATCTCCTCACTTTTCCTGGTTCATTGCCTTTCAATCTATAAGTGGAAGAATACAAGGAAGCAATTTAGATAGAGATTCTGATTAACTTTACTGCTTGTAATTGTGTCAAATATGAGTCATTGGTTTTTAGTATATGTGCTGCCGAAGCAAGCATGAGTCATTGGTTTTTAATAAAAGATTAGAATATAAGAGCATCATGAGACACAGAGATGGGTTCAAGAGAGTACCTAATTTTTTTATATATTCAATTGGTTTTAGATTGAAAATTTCATATAAAATAGAAAAATATTGCATATGGCAAACATTCTAATTGATAGACAACAATCCTGGCAAACCCAATTATTTGTATATTTGCTACTGAAGTGAGTGCAAACCCAATCATTTGAATCACTTCCAAAAATCCAGTAATACACAAAAGCTGAGGAACTGCTGAAATGATTATTACAAGGTGAAAATTCTAAACTTGAAGAGCTCTATACCAAGACACCTAGGACTTTTAGTCCGTTTATATTTATATATAATTATTTCTAAATGTCATGACCTATATTTTTATTATCAAAACAATTTAAGCTAATAAAGTCTTTGAGAAAAACATAGACCCAAAAGGTAAATCAGTGGAAGAGGAAAGAATTTTATTCCCAGGAACCGAATATAACATCACTATGGAGTAATCCTTCCAGTCTTTCTAACAATAATGGTTAATTGTTTATTTATTTGGGGAATTTAAAAAATAAAATTTTAATAATATTTATGAGTTTCTTAAAATTGATTTTGCTCTTCTAACCACAAATTTTGCAAAATTCTGTAACTGTTTGCCAATTTTTAGGTTGAAAAACATGTATATAATTTCTGTCATAATTTTAAATTGTTGCTAAGCATGAATTTTATAGTGCATTAAGTATTGGCAGTTTATGATAAAATTGTTAAACTCTTTCTCAATGAATCCAATAGAATAGTAATGCAATACCTAAGATCATTCATTGAAAAAATTCCCTTATTTAACACGTTGAAGTTGTATATCTTTAATTTTATCCATGAATTCATATTTTCACTCTATTTTATATATCCCTAGAAATTATATCCGAATGTAAAGGTATTAGTATAAGTCTTTTATTGATCAATTGATATTTCTCTTCAAAGTGCATATACATTGAAATTTAAATTTTTGTTTCTTGGTGCCGAGGATTTAGCTCAGTGGTTTCACCGCCTGCTGTGCAAGCTCAAGGATCTGAGTTCTATCTCCAGTACCAAAAAAAAAAAAAGAAAAATTCTGTTTCTTAAGACCATAAAGTTGCATTTTCTTTTAATTTTTAAATGGTTTTTCATTTAATTTTAGAAGCATATAATTAATCAAAGAATCACAAATGTTAGAAGTTTAATGAATAATGATTAAATATTAAAAGTCAAATTTTATTATCAATGCCTCTTCTTTCTAATTCATGCACCCACTGATGATTTTATATTGCCATGAGACAAAATTTATTATCAATCATTTCCATTTTTTAGTAGGTGCAAGTGCTGAGAAATAATGTTTGCATATTGCCATTAAGGTCTTTCAATGCTGAAGTTCTGCCTTGCAAATCACATAATGATACATCAAAAAGAATTATTTTTAGACCTATCTACTATCTGTAATGTAGATCTTTTTTCATGTTTTTTGCAGCAAAGAAATAGAAATTTTCTGATTTGCAGAGGTTAATTGTCTTTACAAAAAATTGTTACTTTATTAGAGTCATTTCCTTCCCCAATGTCAATATTCTCAACCATTTCTTTGTTAGGGAGTCCCAGCTGTTTTTTTTTTTTTTTGCAGTTCCAGAGATAGAACTCAGAGCCTTGGGCTTGTGAGGCCAGCTGTTTTTATATCCCAGGACAATTCACCATGGTGAGATTTAAGAAAGGAGGGAGTTAGGCCTTTCCTTTGTGGAGTTTGAAAAGATGAACCTGCTGGAAGCCTGAAGTTCTTAGGCTAGATTTGTACTACTAAAGAATGTATATGAGTTTCAAAGATCTTGAACTTGATTCTTTTAAGACTATTTAAGTGCCTATGTATTTTTTGAAAATTATCATATACCCTGGTATGAAGATCACAGGTACATACAATTTTTCTTCCAACAATTTTTCCTCTCATTTAATGTAACATTATGACTATGTTTTCATGTCATTATGTAATATTTTTTAAAATGGCTTTGTCTATAGGATTTAATTAACACATAGCTTAAGCATCCTTTTATAATTAAAAGTATGTTTTTAATGCTTTTTATATTTTGGTACTGGGGATCAAACTCAGGACCTTGAGCTTGCGAGGCAGGCGGTAGAGCCACTGAGCTAAATCCCTGGCTCTGTTTCTAATTTTTATTTATTATGAAAATAAGAATAAATACCATCTTTCACAAAAAGATTCCTCTCTTACCTTCAAATTAAGAACTTTTACCTTAGTATAATTTATTGAATGCAGCCTCTGAGACATAAGATATGGTGTTCTTCAAAACTTCTAATAAACCTGTCAGGAATGGTAGAACATGACTGACATCCTGGCACTCTGGGAGGCTGAGGTGGGAGGATTGCAAGTTTGAGTCCATCCTGGGCAACTTTTCAATTCAATAAGAGCCTGCTCAAAATAATTTTTTTAAATGGGGGCTGATTATACAATTCAGTGTAAAGGCCCTGGGTTTCATCTACAGAATAAAGAAAAAAGAAAAACTTCTAGTAAATTAATAAATATAGCAATACATTTTCAAAGAAGTAGTGCTAATTTATGCCAACACTAGTAATCATTTGAAACACCTCCTTTGCTACATAGTTTCCCATTTCTTTATAACTGGGGCATCATTATGCTTGGTAACATATACAGATCTTGATTGTAGGATTTGGTGACTCTTGAGAATTAAGGCCCTACCACCAAGCAAATCCTTGTATTCCTATAGATTAGTTTTATCTGTTCATCATTTTCACAAAAATGAAATTATGGGGCATGCAGTCTTTTGGATTTGGCTTCTTTCACTCGGCATGTTTGTAAGATTTACCCATTCAGCTAAATTTGTCAATGAGAATTCTTTTATATAAGAATAACACAATTGCATATCTACTTTACTACTGATAGATGTGGATTACTTCTAATAATTTGCTATTCTAGTTAATCTTATATCTGATGATCAAGCTCCTGAAAAAATTTTTTCCTTTTAATTTGATTTTTCCACAAATATCAATAAAAGCATTGCTTTTTTTCTATTACATTCTTTTATTGGTACATTGTAGTTATACAACACAATTACATTTCTCATTGGGAATTGTACCTTTACATAATGCATCTTGGTTCTTATTTTTTCCCCATTCCTAGCCCTCCCTTCACACCCTCCACGCTTCCCTATTTACAAAGACTTTATTCCCATTTTTTCCATTTCTCATCATTTTTTCTTTCCCTTCTTTCCTTTCCCCTGCCCCTCCCACTACCCCTACTCCTTAAAAGCATTGCTTAAAATAAGGGTTCTCTAAAATTTGTGTCAAATATTGAAGTCTTTCCAATTCAAAAGTTCTGTTATTTGGTCATTGGCAATTAGCATCTGTAATGATATGCTTATTCCAATAATGACTGATTTCAGTCAGTTTCTCCACAGAAAGACCAAGAGGTAATTTTTCAGGCTTAGTATAAACATTTACTGTGGAACTAACAGGCATTCCCAAAGAAGGTACCACAAAATACAGCCCCCCGATCCCC